ACAACGGAGAGCTGTAAATTTCGATTTAAAGCTTTCGTGACTGCAGGGATTCATCTTCTGGAGATAATTATTATTTTAAAATAATGAATGTCGATTATTATGTTATCTCCATTCTACGTGACTTTACCGAAAGAACCCAGAAAACGGAGAGCTGTATTAAAAAAAAACACATTCTCGAAACACATTTCCTCGTTTGTGTCGTGCTTTAGAATCGACATTCAAAAATTTTCAATAAACGCATTACGCAACTACATTATGCGGCCCCTTCCATCCATGCGAGGCCACTGTAAAGTGCAGCAGAATCTCAAACGTCGATTGATGATTAATTGAACGAAGGGAGGAGAGGGGAGCGAGGGGGTCCGGGCGGGATCGTCACACCCCCTACTTGTCATTTTTTTGTTTGTTTTACGAGCGAAAAATGTGGGGCAACAGCTCCGCGCTTATCCGAGCAGAAAACCTTGCCTGCGTGCAGTTTTATGTTTCAATCTTGGAAAGTTCACGGTCCCCATTTGGTCATTCATTTACATGTGCATTTCTTCGCGTGCGGATGCCATAACAACATTTTTCTTCTTAATTTATTACATTTTGCGTGGCCTCCGCATTTATCGCCTTCCAAGGCAGCGACATCGGGGGGGGGGGGGGGGGATGGTTTGGCTTTCGTTGAAAGGACATCGCCCATACGCGACGGCATTGACGAAGGTCGAAACAAAAAAACAAATGTCTAATGCCGCTGCGTGGTTTAAACGTACACCCCTAAATGTCAACTTGGGTTAAACGCTGCTTTATGGCTGTGTAGACCGCGACGTCAGGCGTGGGATCTAATCACGCGTCACGTTACACCCAACGGAACAGGGAGGAATAGGGCTATTGGCAGACCAACATAGGTACAGCGGTTAACTGCACAATACGTGGTACATTTGCAGTACAACTGTGCAAACATGCTGTCAATGCCTGATCATAGCTTTAAAAAAGGACTTCCTCCTGCCAAGGATGCCTGGTTATTATGGCTTCATGAACGTGTACTCTTTGGTTCTATTCGGTAAAGTCACGTAGGTAAAAAATAAAACAACAAAAATCACGACGTTTCAGCCACAACACAAGCGGCCTTCATCAGGTGAAGGCATCAGGCTGTCTCGAGGACAGCGCTGGAGTGAAACACAGCCACGCTCAGACCGCGGACCTTTAAGCTGTGTGCGAGGAAACAAGGTGCCTTGACAAAGGAATTAGCATAAAAATTAGCATTTGATTGGCCGACTTAGCATAGAGGTGGTGTACGTGCGGGTCCACTTGCCGTTTGGCGCGGGGGGGGGGGGGAGTTTACCTATTGATGGTGTGAAAAGGGAATTTTTAAGTGCTGCGAAAGTTTGGGGTACCACTGCTTGAAAAATATACTGTACCATTGAAAATTAGTTTAATGTTAAGTTCCATTTAGAACATCTTTCCAATGGTTGCTTAATTTGAAACCATCTTCTCGGTTGAAATTGTGTCTGTGTTTGTAGATCTGAATTGCCTCGTGAACAAATCTCTGATAAAAACCCGTGGGTTTGCAAAGAACCTTGGTATTGGAGAAAATTATGTCGTGATCACCCACATCGTTGTAACAGTGATCAGCCACGGCAGAAGAATTCGTTTTGCCGTGTTTCAAATCTGATTTGTGCTCGCGAATTCGGTCAGAGACATGTCACTTTGTCTCCCCGATATAGCAATCACCGCAGGTACAACTCAATTTGTAAACCCCGGGGTACTGTAAGTCAGGAATGACATCCTTCACGGATGGGATCAGATCACGAATTTTGTGTACTGTATTGAACCGGACCTGGATCTTGTGTTTGTTTAGAATTTTGGAAATCTTTTTAGTAACGCCTGCTATATATGGTAGTGTGATGGTTTTGACCGGAGTATCATGAACGTGGTCACACAGTGCACCTTATTGCCTTTTTACAGCGGCTCGTCAACAGCAGTGACTAAGACATTGGTCACAACATTTCTGGAGCGGGGGGATAAGGGGCCGTCTATAAATGACGTCACGCGATTTTGGACGATTTTTGACCCCCCCCTCGTCACACGGCGTCACAAAAAGTCAGAACCCCCCCCCTCAAATATGACGTCACAAAGCTCTGCCCCCCCCCCCCCAAAAAATAAAACATGGTCGAAACGTCGTGAGACTTTTTATTGTTTTATATATATTTTATTATTTTATTGTTTCCCTTCAACGTGACTTTACCGAAAGAGCTAAGAATATGAATTACTGCAGTCACGAAAGCTTTAAATCTAAATTTATGCTTCAAATCGCTTTAAACTATTGTCATTGTAGTGCGTATTTAATGTGACGCTGCACTCTGATGTCGTAGGAGAAAACATTTATTAAAAGTATATTTAATTAAGTAGAACGTGTTGTCTATATTTATCTAAAGTTGCGCATTTTTATGTGACGTCAAATTTCTCACCCCCCCCCCCCCCATCATCACACATCGTCACAAATGTCTGACACCCAGGTGCGTGACGTCATTTATGGAGGGCCCCTAAGAGCCAAGCGAGAGCGAAGAACGCCGAGGAGTGACGCACGCAGTGCGAGAGAGCGCTGGGAAATCTCAAAATGTGGTCATATAACAACCCCGGGGGTAGAGGGGGACGAAGGATGGGTTAATTTAGTAGACACACCCCCGGCTGAGGCTTGAATAAGAGGCAAACAGGTGCTCAGGGAACCATGCCAGACTCTCAGTGAACACCACGGTGTGGGGAACAATGAAGCCAGACCGGGGTGGGGGGGGGGTGTCGGCAAACCCGCGGCTCGTGAGTCACCGCGTGCGACTCCGCAAGGGCCGGTCTGCGACGTTATTCGTCAACGGCCACCGGGTCTCGTATTTCACGTTGCATTGAAACACCCAACTATTTACCTTGTTGCTTTGGTTGCTGACCGCTGAGCCAGATGGACTGTTTTGTCCAAACGTGCATGGGAACACGTGGACACGACACTACATCCCTACCGCACCCCACCCCCCTCTCCCCCGTACCCGCGTCCCCCTTGACAGCACGTTGCCAAACCTGAACCGGGCAAATTTACGAGCAGGCCACCGTGTTAATATCACGTTCACTTTGTCAAGGCAGGGCGGCGGCGGTGGCGGAAGGGGATCTCTGCTCCTTCGTCAAATCCAATCAGAACGCCTGGGGCTAGGGTTTAGCGTTTAGCCATCACAATACGCTTCACAGGCACGCACAGGTTCACCCTGTTCATACGGGTTAGCGAATGAGCATCAGGACTGGTTGAGACATCGCTTGGTTGAGTTGAGTTGACCTTTGTGTCTATCTGTGTGTCTCTCTGTGTGTCTCTGTGTGTGTCTCTCTCTGCTTGTGTGTCCGTCTATGTGTCCCCGTGTCTGCGTTTTGTCTCTCTCTCAAATTTAGCAATCTTTGGAAGAACGTAATCAACCAGGTAGGGTGTTGACTGTTATGTTAGCCGACTATCTGTGTTGTATTGCATTATATTTCTAAGTTTACTCGGTTTGTTTTCTCATTCATTCTTACCTGAAGACGGTTGCTTGTGTTGCAATAAAAACGTCGTATTCTATTTTCTTTTCTTTCTATGTGATTTTACCGAAAGAACCAAACAGTATTTCCTGCAGTCACGAAAGCTTCAAATTAAGTTTGAGACCTGGGACAGTACCAGACATCCCTTGCGACTGCTCTGAGCCATGGCACGGGAATCATAACCAAGTTGCCGGGTTCATACCGTTGTGCACCAACTAATTTTACATTTAGAATACATTTTTTAACACAATCCTGTTCAGCCGAAATCCAGGGCCCATGTGTAATGGAAACGGAGCGCTGCCTGGTACTCAAAAGTATTTTCCCCATCACAATAGTTTATCACGGTCTGTTAAACTCGTGTCACACATCCGCCCCCCCCAATAAAAAAAACAGAATAAGGAACATCTAGTTCCAGTGGGTCAAAGGGTCAAAGTGAAGAATTCTTTTTGGAGACTTTCTTTCGCGTCATGCCAAAAAATGCACAGGCGACCTCACTGTTCTACCAAGTTCCTTTCTTTTGGTGAAAACATTGAAAATAATGGAGGAACTGTGAGATGAACCCCGCTGCATTGCGAGTGCTGAGGCGCAGTGCCGTCTGCAACTACAGTGGCCTTTGATTGTGCCACGGTTCATCAACCCTGCCGAACAGGGTACTGAGCTCTTGGGTGACCTCGCAGGAACGCTGAATGTACGTCAACTTCAAAATCGGTCGTTCTGTAATTGGATGCTCATGGAAGTGGCAGAGCCAACCGGATGTTACAACGCGTACGAACACAACGGTTCACGATCCTTCGGTTGGCATCTTTAAGACGGGCCCCGCTCGCTTGTACCGGACCCCGAATGACCTCCGCAGCTGACCCCATGCCGTTTCCGACGTCCCATGTATGCAAAGTGGAGTTGGCCGCAAAATTAGGCTGTAAAAAAAACTTTAAATGCACCTTATCTAAAAAATGTTTTAATGCTGGACAGCAAAAAAACATGGCAGGAATGAAAGCTTAATCATTTTAAAAGAGGCCGAGAGTGGTTTGGGACATATCTCGATTTTGATTTATCTTTGAACCATCCAACGGATTCCTGCGAACCTTACAAAACAAATACTCTTCAGTCGCCAAGAGGAAAATAAAATTCCACAAATAAAACATACGCTTTTCCCACTCTCGAAAGACCATGTGCGTGACAGAGAGAATGGGAATGAACGATATTTTTAATGGCTGCTATATTTTTACCGCACTAAAATAAAATGCATGAGTTTTATACCATAGCAATCCCCACATACACCACAGCTTTAAAGGTCTGTCTTCTCTGTAGCCTCAGAAATAGTTGCGTAACATATTCCAAAGCTGTTCTCTGGCACGTGATGATTCCCTGCTAGCTGCAGAGTTCCGAAAGCACAATCTTGTCTCGTGACATGGCCTCATTGGCTCAATTGGAACCAAATTTTGGAACTCAAAACGCTCTAAAAGTGCACTCACCCTCAACGTCGATGTGTGCGACCTGCGTCACCACCCCGGTGTCGTTCTCCTTGTCCGCTGGCCACTGGTACACGAACAGCGATGTGTGGGAAGAGCCCGCATCCAGCACCACACCGTACTGCACACAATGACAAACATATCCCCCCCCCCCCATAGCCTTAACAGACTTTCGGGGCAGGTGCTGTTAGCGAGTGCCTAATGAAGACTGGCACTGCACACGAGGGGGGTGGGTGGCCAGCGCCACGCCCGGCCGCCTTTGTCTCTCCAATGGAGACGTTTACACACCGGCGGCACCAGGCACACGAGCGACAAATGCGTGGGGCCCCGCTTGGTTTAGCCTTGACGGCACGGCCGAGCGGTGGAGCGTTGGCCGCTTGTTGCAGAGGTTCACGGTTCGAAGCCCAGCAGGTCGGCCCTGTTGAACACCGTGGGTGCATTCCCCAGAAATATGCGCGGCATCTGCTGCACAGGAGAGGTCAAATATCCCAGGACGCTATTCTAAAAATAGAGTAGGCCACGTGTGCCAGCGTCACGGTCCACATTGTACCTAATTGGGTGAAAACACACGGCAACATCGCCCGCTACGATGAAACTCCGTAATGAAAAGTTTATTTTCGGTTAGAGTGCGTAAATATGTGTCGTTGAACCCGCCACCACCCGACACAGCCAACTAGTAAGGTTTGTCACGTAAACAGAACGTGGCCAATTCGGTGTGTTGGAGAGCAAATCCACAACATTTAGATTCTAGTACGGTGACGTTTCGCCGGTAATAACTATGAAACTACTGCAGATGATAGTCGTCTGTGAAACATCGCGAACACCAAATGCAAAGACGATTCCGTTTGATTTGTTGGGTCTGCCTCTCCTGGCAGCCGAGCATCACGCGAGCGAGCGGTGCGGCAAGTGGCATACAGGCACGGCGGTTATTTTCTTGCCTCTATTGACGATTGTTAGGGATGTAAAGGCGCATCCACTCGTCGATTAAATTATATTCCTACGCTCACATTGTACGCATGGAACACAGCATGAGATGATCGAGTGTTTACCATTCACCAAATTTTAAAACGCGAACGTACATTTCTATGAGATAATATAAATGAGGCAGTGTACAATTGAGATACAAGAGATTACGTGCGGAAGACAATCAATATGTACAAATGAAAAATGAGCAATCGATTATTCAATCAAATCGCTACCCAGAAACGTGGAAATACATCTAACTGCTAGGGTGGGAGGGGGGTGGGGGGTGAATTTTGACGCGTGTAATGTTCATAAGGGTAGACTTTTATCTATGCCGCGCTAATCGGAGGTGCAGGGATTCGGAGATGCGGGGAATCGGAGGTGCAGAGTTAACCTAGGGTCAGCTAAGGGACGGACTTCGGCTGGGAATCCAAGCCGACTTCGGCTGGGAATCCAAGCCGGTCCCGCAGGGTTCAGGTTACGGCGAAACTACATGTGACCAATCAATCAATCAAAAACGTTTACATTTTTTCCAATTACAGATTAACGTTTGTGTGCAACAGTTGTGGAATTACATAAACAAACATGCCACAAGACTCCTCTAAACAGAGGATTTACTTTGCGGGCAAGGGCCGGCACGTACGCAGAGGGTTTTCTTTAAAATTATGGGCTTAATTGCAAAAATATAAACATACAAATGTTTTTGGCCGCCAGTCATCTGGGCAGTTTAACTTATTGTTCTTTAATTCAACAGTTCGACAGGAATGCTTTTTGAGGCTGCAGCACGAGAGCCCAGCAACAATGCGAAAACAAAAAAGGGAACAAGAAATCACCACGGCAGCAAAAAAAAACATTCCTCCTCCTCCTCCGTGTGGACGTGGGCGAGGCGCAGATTCCAGCCGCAAGATTACCAACCACGGACAATGGCATTGGGGGAGTGCGAAAAGGCTAAATGTGTTTTTACAAGAAGTACGTTGAAATAAATAATTAGAAACACGTGGAAATGGGAATAAACTTCCAGCAGTGCAGACGACAGGGAAGGAAACAGTTTTCGACCGTTGCTTATTTGTCTTGCGAGTGAATTTTAATTTCCAAATTACAGAGTGCAGCCATCCACAGCTTGTAGGCTCTGCTGTCAATTATTATTATGGCTCTCCTCTGGGCTGTGGGGGCAGTCGCCCTCCAGCAACAACGGAGGGCAGAGGAGCGACGCTCACAACAACGAGCGGAGCGCCGGGCGGCTCAAATCCAGCAAGGTGGCAACAGTGGGGGGTACAGCTGGTGGTGCATCTACCAATCATCTCAGTTAGCCGACCCATGGCACCTGGGTCAGTCCCGAGACCTGTCAGAGAGCCTTCGGCACTTCACGGTGACGTCACCACCACTTAGTGGTAATGGCGGCTATAGGGGAGACTGTGCGAGGAAGTGCCAGAGATTGAGTGAAATTCCAGAGAATGCCTCCAAAATAGGAATTAGGGCAGGTCGGAGGAAATATCCCCAGTGGGGCTGAGGAAAAACTAGCGGCTCATTGCCCAGCAACCTCCCTCTCATTTACATCCACATAGTTTCAGTGCAAGTCTCCCACAACATCTGACCACCAGGGTCAAGTGACCCACGCTGCTTCTCTCAACTTGTCTGAATCAAAATTGCCATGTTGTTTTGGTCAAACAAGGCAAATCACTGCACTTCAAAGAGGATCTGTTTCTCCTTAACAGCCACTGCTGACGTCACGTGCAGCGATTTAATCAGTTAGCTCTAATAGCAGCATCCTGATGATAGCTGCTGGAGAGAAAGAATGCATCACATGAAGCTTACTTCAACTTAAAACGTTTTCACCAGCTCCCAAATGCATTTAATCGAAAAAAAACGATACAGGATCTAGACAATTGCTTTAATCCTGTTCTCAAGTAGGATGTTATTTTATAAGGACACACGTACATTTGTACACATCTTATAAAATATCTCGAAGTAACTTTGATTTCACTCGTAACCCCTTCGAGTAAAAGGAGTGGTGGCGCAGTGGGTAGTGCACTGCACCACGAGCCTGGCCACCTGAGCCCGATTCTTGGCCGCGGCTAACATCAGTGGCGAGTGATACCTGAACCGGTCCTGGCCCCTCTCCACCGCATCATCGCGTGCTTTCATATGCGCTTCTGCGGGCGTCTGGAACGCTCTTCTTTCCGATATTAGGAAGCCACTTGGGCTATGTACTTTTAAATAATCTAGATTGAAAACTCATTTCTTTAAAACCGTTTTTTTGTGTTTGGTGTGTTGTCATTCCCCCACACCTCCAATCAGCACGATTGGCTGCGTACGGTGCGAAAGAAGTTCAACATAAAACATAAATACACCAACCAGAGTAGTGAAGTTCAGTCAACAACCGCCAGGACCACCACAATATGGGAAGAACTTCATCCAGAAATGGTTTGACAAAGTGCTATAAACTAGTATTAATATTTGTATTATTACTTCATTACTATCCAAGCACAAAGGTCAAGTTGGGATGGCGACAGTGAATGTCCAATACTTGAAATATGGTAGTGGGGGGGGGTACAACGATCCATGAAGATGGCAACAACAGATTGCACAGCGGTGTGAAAGCGGCCATAGCGCTGGCTGTGGGCGGGGAGGCACAGCCACAAGAGAAGACCACCAGAGCAGGAGTTCCACCCTCGTGGGCACAGGGTGATGGGGAGTAGGGGGGGGGGCTGCATGTGCGGTGGTGCAGGGTACCTTGAGCGGAGGGGGGCGCTTCTTGCTCTGCGCCACAGCGATAGAAACAATCGCAGTCACCAGCACGACGAAGAGCGCGAGCCCCAGGGCCTTGAGCAGACATCGCTGCCTCGGGGTTGTCCTGGCCCGCTGCTTGCCTGAACGTGCGGACACAATGGGACAAAGACAAAGATCCCCCGTGGAGCCTTCACAGACTGTAGGGGAAAGTGCCGTTAGCGAGTAGCACCTATGAAGGCCGGCACGGCACACAAGCCGGTGGGTGGCCAACACCACACCCGGGCCGCCTTTGTCTCCCTAGTGGCGATGTTTACACAGCGCACCAGGTACTCATTTGAGGCCGAGTCGACCTAGGGGAGGCCCAAGACCGGTTTCAGATAATCGTCCCGGGTCGCCGGGTTCGGAGCGCAGTGCCCTGACCATTGTGCCACCGCTCCCTAATGGGACAAAGATAAAGATCCCCCATATAGCCTTAACAGACAATGGGACACACACACGTGCACACGCACACAGAAGCAGGTGTTAGCTTCTAAAGCCGGTGCGCAAATTCTCGTGGTTGCATTCAAAATTACGTGCATCATCATCATAATCATGCCTCGGCAACGATCAATCCGCTGCTGGATGAAGGCCTCCCCAAGCAGTCGCCGTCGCTCACAGTCCTGCGACGCAGCGATCCATCGAGCAGTAGCGCAAAGTCGGATTTCGTTGCTCTGTCATTGTAACCGTTCATTTGCAGCGCTTCTTTAACGATGCACAAATCAACAGGGCATTGAATACCAAAACCAAATCAAAGAGCATGAGCAGTGAAACTGCCCAAGTAAGTAAAACGATCAAAATACCGTACATTGCGGGAGTAACTGATAAACTAGCCAGATGTTTGGAAAAACAAAACATCCGAGTCAGATTTGGCACGGTACATAAAAAAAACAGAATTTTATATCTGGTACAAAAGATGTATTACCGAAGCTATCAACAGAAAGTGTGTACAGCATTAACTGCACGTGTGGTAAATGTTGTTGGGCAAACAGGACGAATGATCAGCACGAGACTAAAAGAACATCAGAGAAATATTAAATTCTCCCAAATGCAACTGTCAGCAATAGCAGAACACGCGTGCCAACAAGGACACTCATTTGATTTTGATAATCTTCTTGGTTCTTTCGGTAAAGTCACGTAGAATGGAAATAAAATAATAATCAAAAATATTTTAATTTTATATATATTTTTTATTTTATTCTCATTCTACGTGACTTTACCGAAAGAACCAAGAAGATGAATCCCTGCAGTCACGAAAGTTTTAAATTGAAAAATATTTTGATGTTGAATTTTTGTTCAAAACTAGCTACTACTGGCCAAGACTAATTAGAGAATCTATCGAAATTGGAGAAATCTAAATGACTTTAACCGTTTGGATAGCTACTGTCTTAGTGCTACATGGAAGCGAATAATCAAATAATACATTATTTAAATGCATGCCTACAAAGGGCAGCGTACTTCAATAGGGATTGCTGTTGGTAGGGCTATTTTAATATACACAATAGACAGGAAGGACAAGTTCAAAGGGCTCACATAATGCACATGCATAATGTACGTTGCCTCAGTTATACCCCCCCACCCTACATTGTGCAAGAGCGCAGAAGGGTGGTCAACACATCTACGCCTCTATATAAGGAACGAAACAGTAAGACTGCTCCACAAATCTGGCTGTCGCCTGATGAAGCCTGTTGTAATTACTGGCGAAACGTCGTACTCAGATTGTAAATGTTGTGGCTTGGCTCTCCAACACATCGGTGTGCTGTACTAGTGACGAATTGGCCACGTTCTATTTACGTGACAACCCTTACTAGTTGGCTGTGTCGGGTGGTGGTGGGTTTTAACGACACATTAGAATATTTACGCGATCTAACCCAAAAGCCTCTATTATCGATGATATTGGTCGCGAAAGTCTACGTGTTAAATATACATTATATCGCTCGCTTGCGTACGTTCTCCAATCCAACTGTCCCTGTTTCTGTCGTCCGGCGCAATTCCTGCGTGTGTGTCTCTCTTTGCTTCTTTTGAACATAGCTTTTCTTTTTCATTTCTCCCATAACACCGTTATCATAACATATAAATACAAAAGCATTTGACCTCAGAAAGCTTTTCAAATGTGACCCCATCTCAAGAATGCTGTTCTAAAAGGAAATCAAGACATGCATGTCATTATTAAAATTTTCATTAATTGCATCTGTTCTATGCAAACTCCGATAAACCCTCCCTTCCCATGTGAGTTGCTGGCTGCCGTCGTACCAGCCACTCTATGCAGCCCCTGTAAGCCCTCCCTTCCCGTGTGACCTGCCTGCCGTTTTGGCCTGGGCCCCAATGAATAAGAGCTGCTTAGCTCAATGGGCCTTACACGGAATAAACCGACTGAAACCGACCGATATGCTACAATGTAGAGAGACGCAAAATCTTTTTTTTTACTGACGTTAAGTGGGAAAGGTAGGGAGAGCAGAGTGATGGTGGAGGATTATGTCACTGACAGTCAATATATTCGGAAAGATGGAAACAGGCAGTCATGGGCAGAGCAGAAAGGGAAGGTCTTAGGGTCCTGGATTTGAACATTATTTTAAAGCGACTGTATTTAAACATACTGGACATATCCTTAGCTCTTTCGGTAAAGTCACGTTGAAGGGAAACAATAAAATAAGAAAATATATTTTATTTTATTATTTCACGTTGAAGGGAAACAATAAAATAAGAAAATATATCTTATTTTATTATTTCACGTTGAAGGGAAACAATAAAATATATATTTTATTTTATTATTTTATTGTTTCCCTTCAACGTGACTTTACCGAAAGAGCTAAGAATATGAATTACTGCAGTCACGAAAGCTTTAAATCTAAATTCATACTGGACATGTAAAATGACGACACAGGGATGGATGCTTTTTTTATATAAAAAAAATAGCTTACTGAGAAGCAACAAACCGATGTGCTTGAAAATGAATGCTTTCAATCAGTGCATACTGCCCACCATGACAAATGGATTGGGAACACGGGCACAATCGAACAAACTGGGAGTATGGAGAGATGGCGCACTATCGAAACACGGGCAAATCGAGAAGGAAAATATGACAACATAACCAACCCATGTTCTGGCAAGCAGACCCACCCGCTCGCTCGCTCGCCCGCGACTTTTGCCTTTCCAAATCATTGCAACACAATGCGGCTGCTGTGTGCGAAACACGCAGACGCAAATAAGCATGCGGAGATACGGAGACGCCGAGAGGTAAAGTGGTTGCTGCGTCCGACCTCCATTTGACGTCAACGTCCGTTACAAAGGAGGCCCGCGTTGCATTGCGAGGGACCGTCAGCAGCACGTGAACGTGAGAACAAGGTGGATATATCTCGCCTACAGTCAAGTGAAAGTAACACCATTAGCGTGCCACAACGTGTGGATTTATCGTCTCCTAAATCTTCGACTATAAAAGGTGCAGGTAGAAATTAGGAGCGCAATCGTTCATCGATGAAAACAATTGTGCTCACGATAAACGCATTATTCGGTGTTCATTTATGTTGCCTGAAAATGATCGGTGTGGCCCCTGCAGGTACTCGAGGTGCTACAATCAGCAAAATGGAAAAAAATATTATCAGATTCAATCGTGACCTCAAATAATGAATGTCCAATGCAAAGTTAATTCTTTAAACATATTTTCACAGATACATTTAGGGTGCCACCCAAAATTCGCCTGTTAAACTTGAAGCCACTGTGAGTTTAAAGGACGATCCCTCAATGTCTAGTGGTTGCTCAATAGCCATGAGGAAAAAATAATGGACTTCACCCTTTCCGGAAATAATACAGGAGGTTTAAAAATATTCAGACGTCAAATAGACACGACTATTGTAAGACATCAAGTCGGCATTCACCACAACCTATGGTGGTAAAGCGTGCAAAATAATCGCGCTTGATTTGGCTTGCACCAGAGACAGCTGTTCTTGAAAATGATTCGCCGACACCAAAGACAGCTGCTTAAAGAAGAATGCATACATTCTCGAAGCATGTTCGTGCTGCATGGTTTACCACTAGCACGTGTGGGTAATGCCTTGTGATAATAGGTGTGTCTATATTGGTGTGTCAACATCTTAACACCCCCTGTATATTATTGCCGGAATGGTTACAGCCGCTCCTTTTGTCATCATCTTGATACCCGCAACAAGGTTGCGATATATCATTAGACCTCCTTTGCCAGTACCAAAATGTAAATAATAGGGTTTTTCCCCTTTTTTCTGGCAACAAAACTGAAAACTTTTTACAAGGATTCATGTCTGCATTAACCACAATACCTGCAGTCAAAATGCAAACAAAAAACATACTATGATAATTTATGCATTGTCCTTGAAATTGATTGGTCCACACCAAGGGACGGCTTTCTTTTGAGCCTCGACCAAATTGGCGTACGCCTTTTGGCGTCATCTGGTCGAGCACCAATTGGGTCGAGGCTCAAAAGAAAGCCGTCCCTTGGTGTGGACCAATCAGCTTCAAGGACAATGCATATATTATCATAGTATGTTTTTTGTTTGCATTTTGACTGCAGGTATTGTGGTTAATGCAGACATGAATCCTTGTAAAAAGGTTTCAGTTTTGCTGCCAGAAAAAAAGGGGAAAATCTCTTATAAGGTTGCGATAGCGTGGCACCCAAGCTATGGAACGCCTTGTCACTTGAAATCAGGCAGAGTCGGTAGACATACTGTATATAAAAGTTTGCTTTGAAAACCCATCTTCTTTAAAGTGGTCTTCCCTCTCGAGTTTGGTCTGGTTGCCCTGGTTCTGTTTTTGTTTCCTGCTTTTCATGCATTGCCCATTGGCAACGGCGGAGCCAGGATTTTTAGGTAGGGGGGGCAACCCCTCCAGCAATGAAAAATGATAGAGGAGTTGTTAGTAAGTAAGGAGTTGTTAGTAACTAAGGACTTGCCCCTTGCTTTTTATTCGACACGTGTGCGGCGATGGCACAGCCATCGATCGAAGGTAGAATTCGAACCGCGTTGTGTGATCGGCATCGCGCTCGCTGAAGGTGTTGATGCCTTCAGGAAGTCGTGTACTGTATACGCAACTGCGCACAATTCTGAGTCGCTTATAACTGCTTTGCCGTTACTTA